CATAAAAATCCGGTCTCTAATTATGATTAATATAAGCGATTCCTTATTTAAATTAATTTTTAAATTGCCTTTCTCGTCTTTTCACATAAGAATGTTTAATTTTTGCCATGATAACAAAAAAAATTTATCAAAATATATTTATGTTAGTTTTAAGTTTTGTACAGTTTTATCATATTCTACTTTAATTCCATTAATAATTCTTTTTAATGTTTCATCTATTTTATCTTCTTGTTCAACAAAATCTTCATTATATCCCCATTCTGATTCGTTACAATAAAACTTGTCGTCATAAAAATTTTGTTCGGCTTTAAATGGATATTTCCAAGGATTTAATTCTCCGTTTCTGTGCAGGCTACTGAAAAAAATAAAATAAATATACTGTAAGTTCATTTATTAAAAAATAGAAATTTCTTTTAACGAATTTTACTTCATTTTGTTAAATTGGGAGGTGGGCCTATCATTTTTAATTTTATATTTACTATATAATATCTAATTATTACGAGGCTTTCCATCCATGAAAAATAAAATCTTTTGTTGAAAATTTTGTGCCAGTATGTCCGCCATCCCTTGCCCATCCTGCAGCTTTAGGGAAAACTTTAACCTTCCCTTCATCAAAAGTTCGATTAACCATTTGTTTTTCAAGAAAATGACGAACACACACTGTGAATGTGTTTAGATCCCCAAAATTTCTTTAAAAATATTTTTAATTAATTATTCGAAATTAAAGTACTTCGAAATTTCCCACAAATGTTGACATTTATTTCTGTCTTCTTGTGAAGAAAATTTTTCCATAAAAAGTCCCTAAAAATTTTATAGTATTTACATATTTAAAAATTTATTTACATGTATAGCTCCATTGTCCGTTCCGTGAAAACTTTTTGGTAATTTGTAAAAATAATTGGCCCAAGTATTAAGAAAATTTCGACCATAAATTGTGTTTCTGTAAATATTGAAATTAGTTGGTATTTTCTCTGAGAGTTGTAGGTCTTCGTTTATAGAGGAAGAAGATCCAATGGATTTTTTTCTGCTCAGGTTACCCAGGTACGATCGAATCAGTTAGACTTAGATAGTTAGACTTCAAGGGATCGCCGAATGTCGCGACATTTAATGTCAATTTCGCTTTGTGGAATAGGCCCAAGTTTGTAGGCATTTATCAGATTTGCCCGAGTCAGACAGGCAAGGCAGGTAACTTACTGAACATCTAATTGTCAGTTACATCAACTACCACACACCGTGGAGGGCGGTTAAGAAGCTTCGGATAGAATTCATAGGTAATCTAACAACCCTCATATATTAAAGATTAACGTACTTCACTAAATAACTGCCTGCCATTATTTCATTATTGAATATTCTATCATAAAAGATAATTTGTTCTCCATTAATATATTCAAATAAAGAATGATTTGGATTAACAACAGCCATATCCCCATCAATAAATAATATCCACTCAAATTCAGAATGTTGAGACATCCACTCGACAACTACACAATGGCGACGAAACATGAACTAAAATTTTTTTGAATAGAAGGCGGACATTATAAATCCGTTTTAACTAATTGTCTTCGAACGATAATCATCAAATTTTTAATAATTAACCCTCCCGCGAAAGTTTGAAATAATTAATAATTATCTAGGCTAATTAATTGAGTAAACACGTTAATAATACATAGATTGAGTAAAAAATTTTTATTAAAAATTTGTTCTCATAATTAATTTTTATATTGGGAACTTGAAAAAATCTTTTAGTAAATCCTCACGTCGTTTTGTCTACATTTGTTTTTATTCACCGTTAAAGAATTATTTACATTATTTTCGGGTATATTAGGTGAAATTAAAACAAAATGAGAACATTCTTGAGAGCGTTGAGCATAACAACGAACTGTACTTAATGCCAAACCAAATTCATTTAAAAGATCAGATTTATCGAATACAGTTATAATCGCAATTTTGGGTTTGTTTATCATTTTATTGTTGTTAACAGAGAAATGACTGAAATTTAGTTAAAATAATTCTCAAAAAGGGATAGAATCCCATATATGAGACTAATCACCAAAGCATAGACCAAGACCAAAGTGAACTTAAAATCTAGTTGATATTTTAGAGAGTAAATGTTTTTGCAAATATGTCGATGAGACATGATTACCCTTATTTAAATTCAATTATTCTATCATATCTCTTTCTTAATTTTCGAGTAAATTTAATTGTAAAATCTATGTTTGAACCAGTCACGACCTTATGTTTGATAATTATATCAATAAGAGAATGAGCTTTCGCAAGAATGGTATGAGTGTTAGTGTTTCGCCGGAAGTTCAGGTTCTGGAAAACAAAGGAGAAGTGTGCCCGCCCCATTTTTGTATAGCTCTTGTTCCAGATTCGGACATTTTTCATAATTTTAAGAATTACTTTAAACGTATTGCTGGCGAAATAAGTTGATCCGGATTAAAAACAATAAAATAAAAAAATAAAGCTAAAATAAAAAGCATAAATATTGAAGTCAAAGAACTTTTTTTTAGTAAATATGAATTTTTATTGTATGATGTTTTTAACATTTTGTCTTAAAAATTTATTAATGAAGTACGTTACTATGTTTTATTAACATAATAATTAAAAGCTGGAAAACTAAATGGAAGAATGAGTCCCAACGGTGGGAAGGGGGGGGGGGAGACGAGGGCCAAAGGCCCGAAGTGAACCTAAGTGGAAAAAGGTTTGGCTCTTAGGACATGTGTCCCATGAACTTTTATGCGTCACATTAAAGTATAGGCGTCCCATCAACAAAAAATTGGATTTTTCTTGGTGTTGCAAAGTTGAAGTATGGTTCCAAAGCATTTTTCATGTTCGGAACATAAGCCCAATGGGTCTGGGACCATTCCTTACCCTATCCCTCGAAATTTCTGAAAGTTAAAATCGTTTTTCCGAAATTTTTAAAAATGGGCTATAACTTTCAGAAATTTCGAGGAATAGGTTAAGGAACGGTTCCAGACCCAATGGGCGTAGGAAAGATATATGGATTAAAGCCTTCCAGAATTAATATTTTCGCCTGCGGACATATAATCGTTCTAAGATAAGTCTGTCACGAATCTAGGTATTCCGGGCATATTTATAATTTTAATGGAGATTAAAATATTAATAGAGGTTAAAAATAAGGAAAATATTTTTTTATATCTATTTTATTTCGTTTAAATTAAAAAAATTTTTTATTTCGCCAATCTCCCTTCTTTTATGCTCAAATATTTAAAATATATTTATGCTGCTCAAGAGTGATTGTTGCTTTCTATACTGTTTATCAGAATGGATTTACAATAATTGTAAAAATTATTTAAAATGATTTTAAAATAAATAAAACTTCGAGGTGTAAATATAAAAAACTAAATAAATGTTAACATTTAAAATTTAGCCAACAGTAAGCCACGTTTTGTAAGTTGTTTTTTTGTTTAATTCGTGGCTTTTATTCAATAACATCCTTTATTTACAGAAAGAAACCACAATTAATGCCCCCATCAAACCACATTATATCAGCAAGGAAAGCAAAGCTATCAACTGTAATTATAAAAACTTTTGACAAAAATTTAAGACAAAAATAAAATTAATTATAAATAAAATAATTATTTAATAAAAAACAATTTTTGTAATGAAAATAGGAAGAGTTCAAGGCAAAAATATGTACATATCTAGAGTTTCACACCGATCCCTTACTTAACGGATTATATCCCTATTTATGAAGCAGTCGTTCCCTTAAATGAGCTAGTGTTATATTAAAAAGTGAATTGAAAAATTAAGAATCACCTTCTAATAAAGCTAATATTGTCGTTGTCGAAATTGAAGATTTAAAGATTTTAAATATTTTTTGATATTTTTGTGGAATTTTTTTTATTTTTTTTTCATTTTTCACTTTTGTTGCATTATTTTTATTGATATTTCTGCCTATAATAGGCAGAATTTCACTTTTTTTCAATGTTCTTTGTGAATATTCATTTTCCTATCACTGTGTGATATTTTTGAGAGGGTATCATGGTGTAAAAATGTCGCAAAAGTCACGGAACCAGAAGGAAAAGACAAAAAGTGCGGACAGCCATTTGCGGACATATAGATATATAAATTATTTTACAAATATATGGCCGAAACCACCTTTACCCATACCAGAGAACGAACCATCCCGTGCTACGATTTTTTTAAAAATCAGGAAAGAAATGATCAAATTAACTTGCCTAAAGGCTACTAAATTTGATTGGTATAAAATTTTGAAAATAAATTTAATTCACAAGCAATATGTAAATCATTATAGAAAAACAGCACGACAATTGGAGCCAACAACCCTCAAAGCTGAAGCTTTGAGGGTTAATCAGGTCCTCAGGCTCGCCGAGGCATAGATGTACCGCTATGTTATGATTAATATAAGTGTTTGGCCTAACTCTACTTTTTAATTGGAAGAAGGGAAATCGTTATTTTATTAAATTGTGTCTTTTATTTTTGATTAAAATTCTATGTTTATTATTTCCTCGAACACAGCCAGGCTACTAAAATGAAATCTCGTGTTATCTTTGTATTGTAGCAATTATTTCTCATTTAAATTAATTTTTTAAATTGTCTTTCCCAACTTGCATTTTACATTCTCATTTTAAAAATATATATGTACATATTTATGTTAGTTTTAAGTTTTGTACAGTTTTATCATATTCTACTTTAATTCCATTAATAATTCTTTTTAATGTTTCATCTATTTTATCTTCTTCTTCAACAAAATCTTCATTATATACCCATTCTGATTTATTACAATAAAACTTGTCGTCATAAAAATTTTGTTCTGCTTTAAATGGATATTTCCAAGGATTTAATTCTCCATTTCTGTGCAGGCTACTGAAAAAATACGTACATATACAATAAGTTAGTTCATCATATTTCACAACATTCATTAAAAAATTCTTTTAACGAATTTTGCTTAATTTTTTAAATTTGGCCTTTCGTTTCTAATTTTTGATTTATTATTTAATATCTACTAATTATTACGAGGCTTTCCATCCATGAAAAATAAAATCTTTTGTTGAAAATTTTGTCCCAGTATGTCCGCCATCCCTTGCCCATCCTGCAGCTTTAGGGAAAACTTTAACTTTTCCTTCATCAAATGTTCGATTTACCATTTGTTTTTCAAGAAAATGACGAACACAAACTGTGAATGTGTTTAGATCTCCAAAATTTCTTTAAAAATATTTTTAATTAATTATTCGAAATTAAAGTACTTAGATATTTCCCACAGATGTTGACATTTATTTCTGTGTTCTTGTGAAGAAAATTTTTCCATAAAAAATCCCTAAAAATTTAAAAATATTTACATATTTAAAAAATTTATTTACATGTATAGCTCCATTGTCCGTTCCATGAAAGCTTTTTGGTAATTTGTAAAAATAATTGGCCCAATCTTTAAGAAAATTTCGACCATAAATTGTGTTTCTGTAAATATTAAAATTAGCTGGTATTTTCTCTGAGAGTTGTAGGTCTTCGTCCATAGAGGAAGAAGATCCAATGGATATTCTTCTGCTTAGGTTACCCAGGTACGATGGAATCAGTTAAACTTAGATAGTTAGACTTCAAGGATCGCCAAACGTTGTGACAATTTTGCTTGGTGGAATAGGCCTAAGGTTGTAGACATTCATCAGATTTGCCCGAGTCAGACAGGCAGTGGTAACTTACTAAACATCTAATTGTCAGTTATGTCAACTGCCACACACCGTGGAGGGCGGTCAAGAAACTTCGGATAGAATTCCTAGTCAATCTAATAACCTTGATATATTAAAGATTAACTTACTTAACTAAATAACTGCCTGCCATTATTTCATTACTGAATATTCCGTGTCGGGCTAAAACGCGGAACGGACAAAACACGGAACGACAGAACACGGAACGACAAAACGAGGAATTACCAAAACACGGAACGACCAAAATACGGACCATACCAAAACGAGGAACAGACAAAAGGCGGTCTTACCAAAAGACGGAACGGTCAGTTAAAGTGTCCGTGTTCTGTCTATTCCTCGTTTTAGTATGGTTCGTATTTTGGTAGTTCCGTGTTCGGTCTGTTCCGTGTTTTGGAATTCCTCGTTTTACCCCTCACCCGAATATTCTATCATAAAAGATAATTTGTTCTCCATTAATATATTCAAATAAAGAATGATTTGGATTAACAACAGCCATATCCCCATCAATAAATAATATCCATTCAAATTCAGAGTGTTGAGACATCCACTCGACAACTACACAATGGCGACGAAACATAAACTAAAATTAATCGAATTTTGAATTATAAATCCGTTTTAAGCCGGTTTGCTCTATTGCCTAATTGCCTGCGAACGATAATCACAACATTTCTAATAATTAACCCTCCACCGAAAGTTTGAGATAATTAATAATTATCTAGACTAATTAATTGAGTAAACACGTTAATATGTAGTAGATTGAGAGGAAAATTTTTATCAAAAATTTGTTCTCAGAATTATTTTTTTTCATTTTAAAATGGGATCTTGAAAAAATCTTTTAGTAAATCCTCACGTCATTTTGTCTGCATTTGTTTTCATTTAAAGAATTATTTACATTATTTTTTGGTATATTAGGTGTAATTAAAACAAAATGAGAACATTCTTGAGAGCGTTGAGCATAACAACGAACTGTACTTAATGCCAAACCAAATTCATTTAAAAGATCAGATTTGTCGAGTACAGTTATAATTGCAATTTTGGGTTTGTTTACTTCTCCTCTCATATTTTTGTTGTCAGAAAACTTACTGAAATTGTTGTAAAAATTCTTAAAAAAGGATGGAATCCCATATATTCAACTAATCACCAAAGCATAAAAACCAACACCAAAGTTAACATGTTTGACCTTAGTCACTATTGTTTGATAATTATACCAATAAGAGAATTAGCTTTTGCAAGAATGTATGGGTGTTAGTGTTTCGCCGGAAGTTCAGGTTCCGGAAAACAAATGAGAAGTGTAAACGCCCCATTTTTGTAAAGCTCTTGTTCCAGAATTTCTTGTTCCTATCATTTTATTCAATAACCTCCATTATTTACAGAAAGAATTTGAATAATTTTAAGAATTACTTTAAACGTATTGTTGACGAAATAGATTGATCCGAATTAAAAACAATAAAATAAAAGAATAAAGCTAATATAAAAAGCATTAATATTGAAGCCAAAGAACTTTTTATTAGTAAAAAGGAATTTTTATTGTATAATCTTTTTAACATTTTGTCTTAAAAATTTATTAATGAAGTACGTTACTATGTTTTATTAAATAATAATTAAAAGCTGGAAAACTTGTGAATGTGTGAGAGGGGGAGAGGACTCTACATATTTCTTTTTGGCATCACCGCTTGATTCATATAACGTCGTCCTTGATGTAAGAATAAGTTTTTCCATCCCGGCCTGTTTTCCGGAAAGGTGTAATTCGGAATCAATTAAAACTATTTAATGACACCCAAAAGGTTTTGGATGTTTCTAAACTGTTTATCAAAATTGTAAAAATTAGTTAAAATGATTTTACAAATACCTAAATAAACTTCGAGGTGTAAATATTAAAAAGTAAATGTGTTAACATTTATAATTTAGCCAACAACAAGCCACGTTTTGTAAGGTGTTTTTTGCTTAATTCGTGGCTTTTATTCAATAACCTCCATTATTTACAGAAAGAAACCCCAATTAATACCTCCATCAAACCACATTATATCAACAAGGAAAGCAAAGCTATCAACTGTAATTATAAAAACTTTGACTAAAATTTATGACAAAATAAAATTGATTATAAATAAAATAATTATTTAATAAAAAAACAATTTTTGTAATGAAATAGGAAGAGTTTAAGGCAATAAATTTGTATGTAGAGTTTCACACCGAATCCGTTACTGAACGGATTATATCCGTATAAAGCAATTATTCCTTAAGCTAGTCGGTACCTTAAATGAACTATGTGTATTATATTAAAAAGTGAATTGAAAAATTAAGAATAACCTTCTAATAAAGCTAATATTGTCGTTGACGAAATTCAAGATTTAAGTATTTTAAATTTTTTGGAATTAAATTTTGTGGAATTTTATTTATTTTTGTCACTTCCATTTTTGTTGCATCATTTTTATTGATATTTTTGCCTATAATAAGCAGAATTTCACTTTTTTTAAATGTTCTTTGTGAATATTCATTTTCCTATCACTGTGTGATATTTATGAGAGGGTATCATGGTGTAAAAATGTCGCAAAAGTCACGGAACCAGAAGGAAAAGAATAAAGTGCCATTTGCGGACATATAAGATATACTAAACGCATAGTACCTAGTTTCCTTAGAAGGAATTATTTTACAAATATATGGCCGAAACCACTTTTACCCATACCAGAGAACGAACCATCCCGAGTTAGATTTTTTTAAGAATCAGGAAAGAAATGATCAAATTAACTTGCCTAAAGGCTACTAAATTTGATTGGTTTATAAAATTTTTAAAATAAATTTAATTCACAAGCAATATGTAAATCATTATAGAAAAACAGCACGACAAATGGAGCCATGTCCTAACTAGAGTTGGACAAAACGATACTGGTATCGGCCAACCCGAGACCGAGATTGACCGATACTCAAGAACCCGATACCGAGACCGATACCATCATTTTGAGCCGAGACCGATACCGAGAAACGATACTGACCGAGACTAACAAAAAATTTTTATTTTCTGTCAAAAAATACGTGTAGAAATAATTTATTCATTATTTTCATCATCCAAATCATCAGAGAAATACTCTTACTCATCTGGATCCGATTCGATTGATGGCTACCATCTTTTTTTATAAAAAATACAATAGTAAGATTCATAGGTAAAAGGATTATAGTCTACTTATACAATTATACCGAGAATATCGGTATCGGTTTCGAGACCGAGAATGAAAAAACCGAGACCGATATTGGAAAAAAGCCGAGAATCTCGGTATCGATCTCGGTATCGGTCTCGTCTTGTCCAACTCTAGTCCTAACAGCTGAAGCTTTGAGGGTTAATCAGGTCCTTAGGCTTGCCGAGGCATAGATGTACCGCTATGTTATGATTAATATAAGTGTTTGGCCTGACTCTACTTCAATGGGAAGAAGGGAAATCGTTATTTTATCAAATTGTGTCTTTTATTTTTGATTTAAATTTTATATTTATTATTTCCTCGAACCCAGTAAGGCTACTAAAATGAAATCTCGGGTCATCTTTGTATTGTATCAATTCCTCATTTAAATTAATTTTTTTAATTGCCTTTCCCAAGTTGCATTTTATATTCTCATTTTAAAAATATATACATATTTATGTTAGTTTTAAGTTTTGTACAGTTTTATTATATTCTATTTTAATCCCATTAATAATTCTTTTTAATGTTTCATCTATTTTATCTTCTTCAACAACAAAATCTTCATTATATCCCCATTCTGATTCGTTACAATAAAATTTGTCGTCATAAAAATTTTGTTCGGCTTTAAATGGATATTTCCAAGGATTTAATTCTCCGTTTCTATGCAGGCTACTGAAAAAAGAAAAACATATACAGTAAGTTCGTTCATCATATTTCACCAGACTTGCACACGGATACTTAGGTATCTTGGTATCCGTATCCGGATATTTACGGCGGATACGGGCGGATACAGACGGATATCCGCAGGCATTTTGATATTATCTGTATCCGTATCCGTGTGCAAGTCTGTATTTCACAACTTTAATTAAAAATTAGAAATTTCTTTTAACTAATTTTACTATTGTTAAATTGGGAGGGGGGCTTTTATTTCTAATTTTATATTTATTATTTAATATCGACTAATTATTACGAGGCTTTCCATCCATGAAACATAAAATCTTTTGTTGAAAATTTTGTCTCAGTATGTCCGCCATCCCTTACCCATCCTGCAGCTTTGGGTAAAACTCTAACTTTTCCTTCATCAAATGTCCGATTAACCATTTGTTTTTCAATAAAATGACGAACACAAACTGTGAATGTGTTCAGATCCCCAAAATTTCTTTAAAAATATTTTTAATTAATTATTCGAAATTAAAGTACTTCGAAATTTCCCACAGATGTTGACATTTATTTCTGTTTTCCTGTGAAGAAAATTTTTCCATAAAAAGTCCCTAAAAATTTAAAGGTATTTACATATTTAAAAATTTATTTACATGTATAGCTCCATTGTCAGTTCCGTGAAAGCTTTTTGGTAATTTGTAAAAATAATTGGCCCAAGTATTAAGAAAATTTCGACCATAAATTGTGTTTCTGTAAATGTTATAATTAATTGGTACTTTCTCTGAGGGTTGAAGGTCTCCGTCAATAGAGTAAGAAGATCCTTGTCATTCTTGTCTTCTGCTAGGTTACCCAGGTCCGATGGAATCATTTAGACTGCCACACACCGTGTAGGGCGGTCAAACTCTGTATACGTCCAAAAAGTAGAAACTTCGGATAGAATTTCTAGCCAATCTAACAACCCTGATATATTAAAGATTAACG